TACAAAGATTTACTGACATTTCCTGCTGAAACTGACGGTACAATCTACTTATAGATAAATGTACGAAGATTTACTGACATTTCCTGCTGAAACTTACGGTACAATTTACTTATAGATAAATGTACGAAGATTTACTGACATTTCCTGCTGACTCCTGCACAGCTTGCAGGACTGTGTTTCTGTAATTTTATCACAGTTACAAGCGTTTTGGTTGCTTCACCCCAATGTTAAACCCTAAACACTTACCTCATTCACCCTTGAAACTTCATTATGAACAATTCCAACTTTTGAGCTGGAAGAGCTCAAATGTGTCTTCAGGGTGAATGGGGTAACATTTTTATAAGCTCCTCTTGTTTCATTCAGTTTCTCAATAGCCATATATATATATGGTTTCAAATTTCTCTTGTCCCGTTTAGAATTTGCAAAAAGTGCTGAATTATCTGATGTTCCTTTAACTGTAGCTTTAAATACAGACTATAGCCATTTTTTGTAATTAAATGAGGGAATGATATTAATTATTGATATGTTGGATGCATCACACATTTTTTTTTTTTTTTTACTCTAGTCATGTTTTTGAAATGATAGATTCTAGGGGAACAAAATATAAATAAGATATATATATTAGGACCCTTGCAGATGTATAGAAGATATAATACTGGTAGTATATTTCAGGAACCTTGATAACGCAAACATTTAATCATAATGGTCACATTTGGTTTTGAAACAATTTCTATATATATATCTGTCAATGGGGTGCTTGAAAATTCAATTCAAATGACACAGTGAATAGCTTTGCATCAATCATTTCAGTGACTAAGACTGTTGGAGTATATGTACTAGACAAGTGTTATCCTCCAATACTGAACCTTCTATAGACAAACAGAAAAAAACCACAGTAGTTGATTGCAACTGTGTTTTTCAATTATTCATGAAATATATGTAAGCTATTTATACTCATTCTGCAGTATAACAATTACAAAAATGCTCTTCAATCTCTATAATACAAATACATTGTGAGTCGTATCTCCAGATGAATAAATACGGTATAGAAAATAGGTTTCTAACCTGTCCATATTTTCCCAGCCTCGAACAAAACAATGGCAATTGTACATAGCAATCACGTTTAATCACAGTCTCACTTCGTCTCTGACACTGTTTCTGACGATGGCTATTGATTACCCATTATATAATCTTTTCAGTACCTGCAACAGGCTTCCCAGCAGATACAACAGGTAAACACAATGCTAGACACCGCAATGTTGTCAGCAACCCGTTTAATGCTTTCATGATAATTCAATTAAAGATGTCTGCTTCAAAAGAACATTCATTGCCCATTACTGGAAATCTAGGAATAATATGTCAGCTGTGATATAGGGCTAGCTATGATTTTGTAAAACATCTCGACTCGTTCACTAGAAACACTAAGTGCACGATGTCCAGCATTCATCTTTTGCAAAACACCTGTGCAATGCAGGGGTCCCATCCATACTGGGTCTCTGAATTGTGATGCCAGTTAGGTTTTAATTCTCCCATACATTTCATTGCAGGGGTATATTTTGAATATTGGCGTACATTTTTGGAATGATGCTTTTAGTCGAAAAATAAACCAATTACGTAGTCCAAGCTTTAGTGGTGCCAGAGGACAAGACATGTGAATAACCGCTCCATAAGTGCCCCAAAAGCTATAAAAAATCATTGCATTTTAAGTAAAACTTAAAATGTGCATCCTGTGCATGTCAAACATAATGTTCGGTCCATTCATGTGACTTAATCCGTTCATTCCTAAAGGCATATTTGAACCTTACCAAATCAAAGACTGGGCAAGACCATGCAGTTTAAATATGTAGGGGTGAATGAGTTAATTTTCCCCCTTTATTCAGACAACACATGTATATCAGCTTCTTGTCACACTGCCATTTTTAAGGATCCCTGTACCACTGCCAAGCTATTACGCAGCCTTATAAATGAGGTGACAAAAGTAGGAGAAAATGGCTGAATTTATTAAAGTTTCGATCATCAACCTGGCAAGCTTGAAAACAGCTTATAGGAGTATGACAGGAAAATCTTGTGGCATAAACTGTTATACAATTAAGTTTGTTACCTATGGTTTTAACACTGTACTGACACTGAACAGTGTACATGATGTGGATTTGATGTAAGACCCACTTGGGATTTAGGGTGTCATTTCTATATAGCACTGTACATGTCTGATCAACTGAATTAATATGACAGTTTTTCAATGTTTTATGAAGTCTACCCAAAATTATATTGCAATTGCCATATAGTATTAAATTATACATCAGATTAAGGAAAACATATTTTCCCGTGTTGATTCTGACTCCTCTCAGCATGACATTGTGTACAATTATGACACAATCACAATACTTTTCCAGAACAGGGTCATTTTACTTTCCCAAGGGCAATTGAGTAAGCAACCTTGATTATATTGTGGGCGTATTGTCAGACAAGGCCAGTGCCTGTTATACAAATATATACTTTGTTGGCAGAAACATTGTACAATGCATATATAATGTTGTATAATGTATAGAATGTAATTAACTTTGTAATCATTGACTTATATTCTGTATTATGTTAAGTTTTGTTTTGTTTTATAATGCCAGACACATGCACGTGCTCCTTTAAAAATCCCAATTGGGAAAATATTTCGATAAATTCATCACAATTAATTGAGTTCTCAAAATGCAGCATAGGTTAGGGAGTACAGATACGTACGGATCCTGTTGTCATAAAGATAGACTCAAATACATAACAGTCACACTATCTTATTTCATGTACATGTATTCAGAAATGTTAGAATGATCATCAAAATTTCCAAAATAGCTCTTTGACTCATGTTGATGATTTCTTCCCAATTTTATCCGAGGTAGCTGTTTCCTGAAGCCCCCTAATACACCCCTGACACACTTTTAACCTTGTCTGTAATATTCATAATATAAGAATGTGCTTATAAATCTCTTAGAGAGAATTACTTAAGATGTATTAAATTTTATCAAGATATATATTACTTAACCTGTGCTTAACCTTCGAAAGTGCAATTATATATTTTTTTAAGTTTCACCATCATATATACAGTGGTCAGGTTTCTAATCCTATTGCAAGTAAACTAATCTTTAATGATATTTAACGCAATACAATTACCATATTTATGTGGCTATAAGCCCATGCCTGGTAATCAATAGAAAACAAATGCTATGCTATTGTCCTGTAATAAGCCCATCCCCTACTTGAATTCTGTTAATTCGAACCCCTGGGCTTATTAAGGATAATTCTGGTACACGATTGAATCACTTCTTCTCAGTAAGACCTGAATACCACTGTAGATAAACCGATATAATTATATACTTCAGTCTGTAATTATTTATCTATGTGATCAACCTGATCCATTAAGCATACTTAAGTACTTGTTGAAATGGGAATTAAATTCATAAACTTGATTAAAAATATAAAGACCAAAAATCTGAGAATTGTAAGGAGTAGAATGTTTGTTGTATTAAAAGAAAAACAAAAAATGTGGCAACATCACAGAGACCTTAGAATTTCTTTCCACCAATATGTATATTTGTGTAACAGATTTAGTGTACTATTTCAAGTCAATTGTGAGTAACACTTTTCAAGGATCAACAGAGTACATGTTCTACAACAATCACAGTTGGCTTGAACACTGATGATAAGTAATAACTTCAACCGTATTAGTCATTTCTTCTTGGCAACCGACTGTTGTATACGTATATTGTCAGACCTGACAATAAATGCTGACTCTGTACAGTGACTAAATTTCCTGTGTGTATTGCAAAAGAATGGACAACTTTGAGATTTGACAGCAAATAATCTATCTCTATGTAAATAGCTAGTCAAGCTGTCCCTACAAGCTTTAGTACACTGGTAGTGTGCCACCTTCTTAAAGGGGCTGGTCGGGGAAAAAATGTCATATTTGCTAAAATGGCATACACATGTTTAAAATACCTTCTTATGAAATATACCGATACAAATTTTGCTGAAATTCACTCCCTAAGAGTAAAAGTTATAATCATATTAAAGAAATCCTAAATCGTCACCTGACAGTTAAAACTCTCAATTGACCCAGATCGGTGATGTAATTTTACCGCACGCGCGTCATCAACAAGGCCAAATGTAAACATTTATCTTCACTGCCTCACTTTCGAAACAACCATGTGACATATATAAATAGATCTGCGCTAAATTTACGCGGGACTTCCCCGAGATTTCAGTGGTCAAAACTGGACATTGCAAGCAGAACTCGACCATCATATTGCCGTGGTATAACTTTTGGAAGGCCAGAGAACGCATTTAGACCCATTTATTTTGTATTTTTTTCCCTGATCAGCCCCTTTAAAGATTTGGGAATTACGACAGAATAGCTTATTGTTATCAAAATGTATCAATATTTCCCGTTTAACATTTTTAGTGCATTGCATTTGAAAGCACTTGTTGGAAAAGAAATTACGTACTTCTGGAAACATATTCTATCAGTAATTATTAGAATTTTCATATCATAAAGGGAACATTTTTATCAAATTGAGGAAAAGTTAGAATGGGGCCCCAAATTTCTGCCTCAAACAGGCAGGAAAGAGATTCTGATGGCAATGACCCAATTGCAAGGATTCAAGATTTACACAGTATTACTGGGGTAAAATGCTTCATCTTGACAAAAAGTCCTGCTTTCTGACGAGGTGCCAAGGAACAGCTTTTTTCAAAAAAAAAATCAAGACATATCAATGCATGGTTTTAACAATTAATAAAGATTAATCAAAAATTCTTGTAATCTTTTTGTCAACAATTTTTGTGAGGTTGCATGTTCTGCATTGGTTGGTACTGTGTCAGCAATTTGATCACATTAGAAATTAGTTCACACTTTTATGTCCACATTATAATTCTTTATATATTTTAGACATATATGTAACAAATGAAAGACAGAAGAATTTTTAGAGACATTTAAGACACTGGGATATCATACTTACTGTTAATTTTGCCATAATTCTGTGCTGCCATTTTATATTCTCTAATTTGCTGATGAAGGCACCTTCACCGCCATTGAAGAGAAAACCTGGTAATTCTGTTTTGGCAATTTTCTCCACGGCTGCCGTACCTCCCGTACTGTAGGCCGCCAGCAACTTTCCTCCGTTCGCAAAGTTGACATATTTGTACATAGGATTGTGCTCCTGCTCTTCGTTTTGAAGTTTCCATGCCGAATCTGGATCCGACTCTTTGCTACCACATATATTTCCCATTGGATTGTGTAGTCGTAAATCACTTTTTGAATTATGTTCTCAACAAATTCCAAAGGAACATGAATTTTCATATGAATATATACACATCTTCACTTCCCTCGAGTGAAATTATCACATTCTGATTTTTTATTGCACTTAATAGCAAAACATTATTATCTCCATTGGGAACGGGTTACATTTTTAACGGAAATCCGACCGAGGTGTCCCACCACTATTTTGATGTTGTCGTAAAAACACAAAAGCCATCTTGTTACACGTGTTGTTTCAATAATCCAATGAAAAAGTTATCTGAAAATACGAAAAAACAAAATCATATCAACGTCATTCCTATACATATATGGGCTCTAATATTCAGTTAATTTAGAGATTTTTTCCTAACTAGAAGATGCAAACTATGAATAAGGGATTAAGCTTAATATCTTATTGTTCCAACTTTGACTCTTAAAAATTTGGAAATGGCTGAACTTTTTATTTTGCAGTATTGGATTGAAATAAAAAATAATAAAAAAAAAATCAATCTTTCTGTATGGAATCTTATGAATAATGGACAGAACTTAACACTATACTCAATCAAAGTAGAAAACTTATAAAAAAGTTCATGCGTACATACTTTATAAAAATCATTGTAAAATATCTCGGTTACAATGGTTACATAAATCTACATGTATTACATAAGTTAGGTGTATAATTAAACATCATACATTATATAATTATCTAATATAATACTAACCTGTTTACATTTTGTACTCTATATGACACTGATCAAGGGCTTTTTTCTGGGTGATTGAGGAGTCATTTAAATTGGCCAAATTCTCCTTGGTAAATTCTCCTATATTGCCCCATATAATCGCTTCAAAATTTTCAGATACCAATTTTGCGTAAAGAAAGATCTTGGGCTATAAATAGTTCAACAATTGGCGTTTTGAATATAAATGAAAAGTTAATTGCTAAGTTCAAATGTTAGGTCTCAATTAATGCTGTCTGTCAAATTAATGCAGCAACTTTTCTCTTGACTTTCTTGATTTCAATCTTATTGTAAACTGATAAAGACATCATAATTACTTTTGTTTCTGTGAAGATTGTTGGAATGAATGTAAAGAGGTTTTACAAACCTGAGAAAGTAATATTAACCGGGAAAATTTGAGGTCAATATAACTTTTTAGGTCCATATATAAACAAATTATTCAACCAAATTAAAAGTCTTTGATACACTGTGGTTATATCAGAGATATAAGGTGACAGTACCCAAATCGGATCACCAAACCATCATTTAATTAATTCATTGAAAATTCTGAGGATGAATTCTATTCATTTATGGTTGTATCAAAGGAAGAATATTGATGGGTGTTCTTACAAAAAGAAATTGCACCCAGGGCTCTCTTGAAATATTTTTAGAACGCTCTGACGTCAACTATCAGCGTTACGCTCCAACGTCAACTATCAGCGTTTCAAGTTTTTGCGAATGTCAGGACCCAAATCATATCAAGGCTTGAATTTTGCAGTATATCTTACACTTCAAATGAATATTTTTTTTGTCAGCATATTAACATTTTATGATGACATTTGGAATTTGTATGGAAACAAGTATTTCTATAGGGTGAATTTATTCCTATAGTCCAAAATAGAATGCATAGTCGTCGTATGCGACATTTTCTAAACACGTAAACAATACACTGATTTTTTAGTTTGAATTACGTTTTCTGGTGCTATTTGAACTTAAACATTAATCATCTGTAGACAAAAAATGGTGCATGGCTATCTATTCTAAGGTAACATCATTGTTATAACTGATCTGTTGATACATTTATTGATTTAATTGTTTAATTTTGCAAAAAGTGATCCGATTATATGCTTCCTTATATATCATCCGGTAGAAGGTAATAAAATTGTCAAGAGAAAAGTACTGCATTTGACTCGCGGAGTAATTTTGTCACGTTTCAACTGGATGATGTCATAAGACAGGAATAAGTTGAGTCATCAAATATATGGTTTAATGGACCTGAAATGTGATATAAATGTTGACTTTGTCTCGATCAAAAATCGCTTTCTCAAGTCCAGTTGTAACTACATTTTCACCTCAACAAATATCCATAATTAATACATATATTTCACAATATATATAGGAATTTTAAGTGATGATCGATCGACACACAAAATAGTCCATCATTGCCCATTTAAGTTCTAAGATATTAAATTGTTGAAAAAGTGAGAAATGGGGCATAAGCGGGATCACTTTTCCATTTCGAAATAAATGTCCGTCCCTGATCTACATTAGCTGTATTGATTTCTGTTTTGTTCGTTAGCTTGTTCATCTGTTACTAATTGAACAGTGATCTAGTTAATGACAAACTTTACCATGGAGTCCCCTGTGGCTGAACAATTGGTCAGCTGACTGGCAGTGACTTTTCAAAAAGTGCTTGAATTGAATTATTCTTTTGGAAATAATCCCAGACCTGAGTGAGCCGTTTTAAAACTTAAAAGAAGGATCATTATCATGAGATATTGATCAAAAATCCTTTTTTTCAGTTGTGATTAGAATATTTTGATTTTCTGAAGTAAGTATACCGAGTATTCATTTAAATTCGCCATGCAGTGTTTATTTGAGCCAAAGTGACCACCATCCTTGATACTCCAGGGCCTACGTTCACTTATACTCTGTGGAGACAGTTACATAATTGAGTGTAACCCCTGGAGTAATGAGGATGAGTGACAGCAAAATTAACCTCAGATTAGGCAGACAAATGACTTCATAGGGACTCGCTCTATAAATGATGACAGTAGCTATTTAATTCCAATCTGGAATGCCAAGCTCCTAGTTGACACAGACTGATACCTAGTAAGTAATCAATCTTTCATTGCATTATTTCTTCTTTCATAGAAATCAGGCTAAGAGCAATGATACCCAGCTCTAACGAAAATTGAAAACTGTTGGCTAAAACCTATCCTGGTGATCTTTTTTTAATGCTTTCAGGCATCGTAGGGCATTAATGACGATACCATGACATATGAAGTGGCTAAACGATGTAAATCTCTGATGAAGAGCATTGGAACTTATTATATGCTTCATGCAAATTTTTCTGTGCTGATTATGAATTAGAAATTACCTTTAACAATTTATAATTCATGTGTAAAAAAGGTCATAAAAATGGTCAAGTTCAGTGTAAATGAATATTAAATCTTCAATCCATAGAATTCCAAAAAACATTAAGTAAACGAAAAAGCACTTTTTGTTTACTCCCAAAAGACTCAAGATTTTTCAAAAATAGTACTTAAAAAGGTTTTTTACACGCAAAATAATATTCATTATTCATATCATGTTGCAATGATGTTACTGGTATCATGATTCAAATGTTAAGGTTGGATTTATAGTACGTAACAAACTAGGTCAAAATAAACAAAGTTTCATTTTATTCATTCATCTAAACATGAAAATAATTTGCTTTTTAAGTGAACATTGACGGAATAATATCTATCATAAAGTAATTAGTATTCTTGTTAATTATTTAAGGATAATAAATATATAAGCAGTGACTGTGACAATGCATTAATTGTCGAACCAAGTGTTACAGTCACCACAATGGACCAGCTGATCATACATTATCACATGTAATATATATGTCCCATATTTGCTGTGATCATCGACCATCCCCTATCTTGGAAGTTGTTGAAATGATACAATCCCTGGGCAATAATGACAGTGGGTACAGTGCCTTTATTAACATTATTTACATACTTTTTACAGTATATATGGGTAGAGGATTACCTCATTGACAATTCTGTGTACTTTTATATGGCCACCTTTGGCTTTTGGACCTTTGAGAGATTTTTTCGATGTACTGTATTTATCCTGCAATACGTCCAGGGGTTCAACACATAATCTTATGACTCAAAGAAGGTGGAGGTTTGGCTCAATACAGGGCGATGAAATAGCCTTTTTGGCATTTTATTGACCTGTAACAAACATAAGTAGACTTAATACCGGGTATGCTGCATAAATACAGTACTCAAAATTACTTTTTGTAGTTTTCTTAATTGAAGAAAATCTATTTTACTGGTTTGATCCTTTCATGTTGATTTGTATGTAAAATATAGATACATTGGTATAGTAAAAGAAGACAACAACAGCTAGCATTATCAATGCTTTAATAATTCAAGACATTAACAGGAACACAAGGAAACAAGACATCCTAAACCTCCTTGATAAAAGGGGAGGCTGCTAATAAAAGGTGTTCCAAAGCGATAAGGATATCCTGCACCACGAGTGGAGCCTGTCCTGATGTCAAATCCATTAACACTCTATGATAGTTATGAACATTTGTCAAAAAAATATATATTGTCCACTGAGATCTGATAGTTAGAAAGAAGTTCTGTTGATTGCTGTAACACAGTTAAACTAGTTTAATTATATGTAGAAAACTTTCAAGGTGCTTCAGTATATATATAAATAAATATCAATGTCGACAAAACCAAGTGCCTAAACTAACAGTCTGTAAGTTTCAATAAATATTCAATGAGATCAAGATATAGTTACTTTTTATTAGTTTGGATGGATTATGAAGGTTTTTTTAGTAATGCAAATATGTCCAAGTGTAAAATGTCTACTTCACAAACTTAACTGCATTTTTTTCAGTGTTTGAACATAGCACTTCATACAAATAAACCATGAAATTACTACAATTCCTGTCAAGTCTGAAATTAATTATTTTTTTCCAAATTTAAATTTGTAAAAATATTTTTGAAAATTCATATTTTTTATCATAAATGACCTATTCCCTATAATCCAAGTGTACCTTATCCTTGATTTGTGAACAACGAAATATGTCTTTGTGGTCTTCTAGTATTATTGGTATTATGTCATTGTTTTTATATATATTATTTATGTGTGTGAACAATAAACACCAATACTTGTGCAATCAATCAAATATCTGGCAATTTAAAAAAAAAATCTAAAACAAAAGTACCATATGTCAGCATACCTCAAGGTAATATCATCAGTTAGCGTAGTGATTGACGTCCATCGGACAGCCAATACACCTGTATAACTGTGATAGTGTAAACACACAGGTAAACTTTCTCTTGACCTAAATGCATCTAAAACATTTTGCACCATAAAACACCTACTTTACGTAAGGTTCAAGTACTTTTAACACCTTTCATGTGACATTGACATAAATTAAAACAAATCTTTCCGTCACGTTTGCATATCAACAGAAACCACCTGTAATTAAGGTTGAAATAAGATTACAGTTACCATGGTTTTTGTAAACAACCAACTGGATACTAGTTTTAAACGACTTTAACTTGTTTCAAAACAGAATACTATATTTGTTGTGAAAAACAATACATTTTACAAAATACTCACCTACTTTGGAATCACGTCATTCTAAATAATGAAAGAATTCCAGCAAAAATTAACCCACACTATAATGCTCCTGTCGCTCAATATTTTACCTGTGGTGGATATAAGATCACGTGACTTTTTGCGTAACGGAAGTCAATGTTTCATGTGTGTAGCACTTCCTGTTTTGCTGTGCACACATGTGACAGGGGTTATATGGTGCTTTAGAAATTATTGCTATTGACATTAGTATAAATTTATTTATTTAACTTAGTATTTGTTACCTGTACCATTAACAATTGTTAGTTTATATTTTGATAATCTGTTAATCCGGGGTTTCGCAAGGGCCGGAGAGACAAACAAACTCGGCCAATCACAGCGTGGCACTCACGCGTGCGTGTACTGGATTGTACTTTTGGTTTGGTAACAAAGCAACACAGGATTGCTAAAAGGGTTGTTCAATGTTATTTATATTTTTTAGGAAAGGTAATACTAGTCTTTGGTAGTGTAGAATCGCGCTCCTTTTATTGATTCAGTCAAAAGATGGCATCACAAACAGAGAAGGTACGTTTTGTTAATTTTTCTCTGATTTTGCTACTTTCGTTTTCATATTATGCGAGTTAAGACAAGTGCGTGGTGTCGTAATGATATGACATAGTCGTTTTGAGAAAAATAAGAAATTAATAATTGTAGGGTTTACTAACCGTACAAGCTATTTTTTAGTTAAAAAGATTTTTACCAATTGCCAAATGCTGAAATGGCCATATACAAATGTAGATTGATATGTACAACTATATGTGGTCAGCACCAGTACTAATTTATTGAGTTTTGATTGAATTTAATTAGTGATTGTATGAAATCACAGCACCCGTTCTCTCAAAAATCTGCACCCGCTCGCTCACTACAGGAACACTACCTCACTCACTCGATCAGATTGGAAACATGCAAATGTCAACCAGAGACATATATTATTACATACATCTCTGTGTCAACCCAGTATACAAAAAAGGAAAAAATCAAGTACAACCCAACAAATTACAGACCAATATAACCTGCATCACATGTTAACTCATGGAACACATCATAACAAGCACCAATAATAACACATCTGGAGAACAACAACATATTATATGACCTACAACACAGCTTTGGATCGTCTAGATCCTGCAAAACACAGCTCGCCACATTCATACACGATCTCGCATCAAACAACAACATCAACAAACAGACATCAACATAATGGACTTTGCCAAAGCTTTTGATTAAGTCCCACACAAACGATTACAGTACAAACTTAAATACTACAGGATAACATGGAACACACACGCATGGATTACAGACTTTCTCTCATTCCGCACCCAAACAGTAGTAATTGAGGGCAAACAATCAGATAAAATACAAGTTACCTCTGGGGGCCCTCAATGAACCTGTTTGGGCCCAATCCTCTTCCTCATTTACATCAATGACTTCCACGAATACATGCAATACAGTAAACTGAGACTCAGATAACAGCATCATATACAAGGTGATAAACAACAAAGAAGACACACTAAAACTACAACATGCCCTCGACGCAGCAGGTCAATGGGAGACGGACTGGCTTATGACATTTCACCCTGACAAATGCAACATACTCAACATTACACCGAAACGCAACAAAATACACTATCACTACCAACTCCACAACCACACTGTGACACATTACACCAAGTAGAATCCAGCAAATACTTAGGCTTAACATTACAAAATAACCTACGATGGGACAAACATATAAACAACATTACAGCCAATGTCAATAGGTCCCTAGGTTTTCTCAAATGCGACTTAAAAATAAACTCACCATATATGAAAGAACATGCATACAAAGCACAAGTCCGACCAAAACTTCCATTTGGGACCCACACAACACAAACCAAATTCAACAAATAGAAAAAACACAACGAAGAGCAGTATACTACGTACACAACAGATATCACAACACCAGCTCAGTAACAGACATGATCCACAAACTACAATGGCCAACACTATAAACATAATGCTTTCACACAAAAATAATCCTTTTTTACAAGATTGTACACCAAATCATAAACCCAACATCTATACTCACACCCGTAGACCCTCGCCCAGACATGCACTCCCTTATGCATACAAACACATATCTGCTACAAAGGACACCTACAAATATTTATTCTTCCCACTCATAATAACACAATGGCATCTCCTTCCCATAGCAGCAGTACAATGCACAACACTCGAGGACTTCAAGGCGCACATACCTTGAGTTAAGGGGGGCTCGAACCCGTGACCCTTGGCTCTAAACAGCACGATGCTCTACCGCTGAGCTGAAGTAAAATTCCATACAGCTGACGCTTGTACGGCAACCTAATCAATGCACATCTTTTACACTATTCCCTCCTTTTTCAAACACTTACCCAGGTTCTTTGACTCCCTGCCAACTGTTCTCCTACTTTGAACGGGAAGGGTCAACAGCACCAGTTTGTAGTAGGATGAAGAATAGTGATAAAGATAGTGCAATCGCTGAGGTTCGAACCCACAACCCTTGGCTCTCCAGCCAGATGCTCTACCGCTGAGCTAAAGGGAAATTTTCTACAGCTGACGCTTATAAGGCAACCTAATAAATGCACAGCTTTTACACATGTGAATGTGTAGCCATGTATAGTTGACTGCATTGGTCGTCACCGCCAAACGCAAGTTTACATACCGCATCAGCTAGTATTTTTTATTTGAAAAGATTTTTACCTATTGCCAATATATAAGCTTGTACAAATATATGTGGCCAACACTCAGCACCAGGACTAATCTTTCAAGTTTTAATTGAATTGAATTTGTGATAGAGGGAAAAGTTTGGACATTTTACACAGGATCTTTACCTCATGAAATTGAATGTTTTCAATGTTATTAGATTAGAAGTGCATGATGAAATTATTCTTTCCTATTTATAGTGACACAGACATTGTTTTTGTTCATGTAAATATGTAGCCGAAGTAGACTGCATGGTAAAAAGGAAGCTTCTTAAATTAGTTAGAACATCCGTCAAGAGGTCAGAGGTTCGGGGTTTGAATCCTGGCCTTCAGTGCGTTGTTTCCTTCCCTGTGAGTGTGGTGCCTGCATGACTTTGAACCCTTGTTTCAAGACATTCTTGATTGGTGTATTTTTGACAAGGACGATATCTAAACCTTAGTTGTAACTTTTTGTATGATTTGGGATCAGAGGTGAATATAGGGTCACTATGCAACTCCTGTAGAAGCTTATTGTTTAAATTGTTTTCAGTGTGATAGTTCCGGGACCGGACTGAGTCCCACCGACCCTTGCTCCTACTCCAGACCTGAGGAGTGTATTGTCACACAGATAGACCTGGATCTGGATATAGACTTTGCAACCAAAACCCTGAGGGGCCAGGCTCATCTTACTCTGCAGAAGAAGAAAGAGGGTATAGACCATGTGGTAAGTATTGCTATATGAATTTGGTGTATCACTCTTGTCGGCCTGCATGGATAGAAGTAGTCACATGGTGTCTTAATGGGGGAGGGGGGACAAGAGTACCGAGAGAAACCCAACTCATCTGCCTTTTCATGTCCTATCTGTGAGGCGAACCCTATAGCCATCGTGGTGAAATGTGAGCTAGTGTGCTATCCACTGCACCACACTACCTCTGAGACTAAGTACAGCTGCTGCTGCTGCTGCTGACCAGGCTCAAGGATCTTATTTGGTCCTTTTTTGGTTGGAAAAACAGATCCATCCCTCTCCTAAAACAAAAAAAAAACAAAAAAAATCTCATTTGTCAATGATTGAAGATTGAGTAATAATAAAGTAGATCTAGGCATTGCTAGTTCCTATTTGTCTGTATATTATTTAGTTTTCTCTGAATAAAATGCAGAATTTCACTTTTCAAATGAACTCACAGACACTAATAAAAAAAATCACATTATAAAATCCTTTGAGTTCATCAACATCTGCAACATAGGACTGGCAGCATTTCCATTCTTGATATACTTATTTTCACTGCACCCCTGGAATACATCTTGACAAAATTGAAGGCTTGGGTTAAGCTTCCTGATGGTTTCAGGTATAAAAACCTTACCAATCACTAGGCTGATATTTGTCGTTTAAAGATTACAGAGGAGCTATAACAAACATCAAAGCCGGTCGATTTTACCATTACACTGCTGCATGATTCCTTTGATCTTTTATAAAGAAATCTGACTTGCCAACTTGTAACGTATGCAAGGTAAAGCAGATAGAGCCTTCAATTTTGTCATGACATGCAAAGAGTACAGAGAAAATATGTGTAGGAGAGCAGAACCCTTGGACTTCAAAGATGTAAAGGTGGTAGAATGCCTAGAGTAGCATGTTTAATACCAGACCACTTGTCTTCTCATTGATAAAGAGATGCTTGCACCAATAGGTTCAATGTAGGTACATGTATCACTTTCTCATTTGTTGAGCTAGAGAAATGAACGTTATTTTTTAAGAGGTACAACTTCAAACATTTGTAACAGCCAAGGAATATTAGAATACTAACGTACTGGCATTAGCTAGCTTTTCCAGCGATGCAGTGTAACCCTGGGGTGCGCTCACTAGTTCAGCAGCATTCAGCATGGTCAATTGTTAGATAGGTGCTTGCTGGCATGATGGTACATTTGGTGGCAGCGGTGGGATTCTGTGTACCATGTAAGGCCACTTCCTGATGGTAAGGAAATTTAAAGATGCATTGTACACAGGGTTTTACAAGTCTTGGTACAGGACTTTTCGGAGGTGGGGTGGTGGGATTACAAGTCTTGGTACAGGACTTTTCGGAGGTGGGGTGGTGGGATTACAAGTCTTGGTACAGGACTTTTGGGAGTTGGGGTGGTGGGATTATAAGTCTTGGTACAGAACTTTTGGGAGTTGGGGTGGTGGGATTACAAGTCTTGGTACAGGACTTTTCGGAGGTGGGGTGGTGGGATTACAAGTCTTGGTACAGGACTTTTTGGAGGTGGGGTGGTGGGATTACAAGTCTTGGTAAAGGACTTTTCGGAGGTGGGGTGGTGGGATTACAAGTCTTGGTACAGAACTTTTGGGAGGTGGGGTGGTGGGATTACAAGTCTTGGTACAGGACTTTTCGGAGGTGGGGTGGTGGGATTTCAAGTCTTGGTACAGAACTTTTGGGAGGTGGGGGGGTGGGATTACAAGTCTTGGTGCAGGACCTTTCGGAGGTGGGGTGGTGGGGTTACAAGTCTTGATACAGGACTTTTCGGAGGTGGGTTGTTGGGATTACAAGTCTTGGTACAGGACTTTTCGGAGGTGGGGTGGTGGGATAGCATAACATTCAAGGAATATGTAATGGGAAAATACTGCCTTACTACAAACTAGCTTTTCGAGTGATGTGGTATAACCCTGGAACATGCTCACTCGTTTAGCAACATTGAGCATGTAGTCAGTTGCTTGATGGGTGCCTGCAGCCACCATATTACACATTACACCTCTCAACCCACCAATTGGTAATATTAGATTGGCCAGTGGCCGTATTTACCGTGTTTGACTCAAGAAATTTTGATTCAATTGATCATGACTTTGTGATTTATAATTTCTAGGTAGTGGATACTCGCGAGGTGACCATTAAGAAAGTTACTGACCAAGCCAACGGACAAGAACTGACCTTCACCTTAGGAGAACATGACCCGAGTTTTGGTTCCAAATTGGAAATAAAATTACCCAATAGTGCTGGGAACAGGTAAAATAGGAGATCTTGATGATGTTTGGCCAGTACTATTTGTATTACAGTGTGTAGTAGATTTGATTGACAGTATATATTTGTACCAATATTGACATCCATTTTGAAGGTGTAATGTTCAAACACTTTTATACAAAATGTACAAAGCCAAATCTCACAGTGTAAAAATTGTTGGAAATCCTAAAAATGTTAAGATAAAGAAGATTTCTAGTAAATTCAGTTTATAACAAGATCAAAAAATATTAGGATCAAAACCAATCTGACTTGTCCATATTTTAGATGTGTTGTGTTGACGAAGTATGAAATTCCACAGCTTTGCTTCCATGTTGTAGAAGTGTTATGTCAATTGGCTATCAAATTGATTGCCTTCATTTTGAAGGCGTGTGGCGTTGGAAAAATATGAGATTGAATGACATTGCCTCCATTTATGCAAATGTGTGGTAACGACGGAATGTCACGTTCAACAACTTTGGCTCTTTGTAATAGTTTTGTGGTGACAGTAAAATACAAGATTCTATGCCAGTAAATAAAAGGATGATTGCTAGGCTAATACCTTACCTTTGAAGATGAAAGAGGAGCGACACCTTACTTCAAAGCCGGTCAATTTTACTATTACGCTTCCGTCTGATTCTTTTGATGTAAATCAAATGATCAAACTATAGTGTTCTAAATGTATCATTAACAAGGTAGCGCATACAGAGCCTTCAATTTCTTCATGACATATTGAAAGGGGCCAGAGAATAGAACCCCTGGAATTTTGAGAATGTTATGTCTTAATTGTCAATGTTTACAAGCTAGGTTATGAGATTCCATTATTTTGCCTCAATCATGCATGTTGTAGGTATAGGATGATGGTCAATGTTTATGAGATTCCATTTTTTGCCGCCATGTTGTAGGTATTCTGTGACAGTGGTGTGACAGACTCAATAACTTTATGTTACAGTTGTGTGGTGTCAATAGAATATGAGACCTCACCACAGTGCTCAGCTTTACAGTGGCTTCGCAAGGAGCAGACGGCAGGAAAACGCCAGCCATACCTCTTCAGTCAATGCCAGGTGGGTATACGTACTGTCAGGCCCAGTGTTGTCATAATTATTACTTCCAGTTTTCATAAGTATATCATATGTACCGTCACTGTAACCAAACCGGGACACTTACGGAAAAACGGCCCAAGAAACCGTCATTCAATGCAAAGAAGTACTTTTATGTATACAGTTTTTATTTCATAATAGTTTTATGACAATTTAGCTGTATGTAAGCTTGATTGGCTGCTGATTATCATTACATGGACAATTTAAAGGTAAGAATAATGAATAAAATAAAACTTTCCCGATTTATGTGCTGTGCGATGCTATTTATTTGATATCATTTAAAAAAATCTATTTTATAAAAACTAATGTTAGTTTGGAAAAGACATTTTATCATGACACTGTTGACTCTAAAATATTTTAAACGTGTCTTCTTTTCTGCTGATATTGATAGTTAAATATCCCCAAATATTAGCCAAAATACCGAAGTGTCCCTTTCCGGGTACAGTTACGCCGATTCAAGGCCATACATAACCCTGATGATATATGTGTAATAGAAATAAAAAGTGGATAGTATCTACATGTATTTATGAAAAATGAACAAACATTTTTGGAACTGATCGTATGGTAAAAAGAACATTGATCTTCATCTAAAAAGTGTCCCGATTTGGGTACAGTGACGTTATAGTAGTTCATTGTAAACATTACATCCTTAACTTCAACACAAATTACAGGTATGACATGTGAGGTAGCAAAAATTCCTAAATTCTTACACAAATCAAAGGTATGATGTGTAAGGTAGCATATAACCTTAACTCTTACACAAATCAAAGGGGCAATGTGGGAGGAAGGGTACCGGTATATCCTTAACTTTGATATAAACAACAAGCCTACTTTGTAAGGTAGCATAAAACCTCAAACTCCGACACAGTTCCCAGATCTGTCCTTAACTCTAACACAAGCTGTAGGTATGATCTGATGTTTTGTAGGCTATCCACTGTCGCTATCTGTAGGTATGATCTGGTGTTTTGTAGGCTATCCACTGTCACTAGCTGTAGGTATGATCTGATGTTTTGTAGGCTACCACTGTCGCTAGCTGTAGGTATGATCTGATGTTTTGTAGGTTATCCACTGTCGCTAGCTGTAGGTATGATCTGATGTTTTGTAGGCTACCACTGTCGCTAGCTGTAGGTTTGATCTGATGTTTTGTAGGCTATCCACTGTCGCTAACTGTAGGGATGATCTGATGTTTTGTAGGCTATCCACTGTCGCTAACTGTAGGTATGATATGATGTTTTGTAGGCTATCCACTGTCGCTAACTGTAGGTATGATATGATGTTTTGTAGGCTATCCACTGTCGCTAACTGTAGGTATGATATGATGTTTTGTAGGCTATCCACTGTCGCTAACTGTAGGTATGATATGATGTTTTGTAGGCTATCCACTGTCGCTAACTGTAGGTATGATATGATGTTTTGTAGGCTATCCACTGTCGCTAACTGTAGGTATGATCTGATGTTTTGTAGGCTATACACTGTCTCTATCTGTAGATATGATCTGATGTTTTGTAGGCTATCCACTGTTGCGATCTGTAGGTATGATCTGGTGTTTTGTAGGCTACCCACTGTCGCTATCTGTAGGTATGATCTGATGTTTTGTAGACTATCCACTGTTGCTATCTGTAGGTATGATCTGGGTGTTTTGTAGGCTATCCACTGTCGCTATCTGTAAGTATGATCTGATGTTTTGTAGGCTATCCACTGTTGCGATCTGTAGGTATGATCTGGTGTTTTGTAGGCTACCCACTGTCGCTATCTGTAGGTATGATCTGATGTGTTGTAGGCTATACACTGTTGCTATCTGTAGGTATGATCTGGTGTTTTGTAGTCTATCCACTGTCTCTATCTGTAGGTATGATCTGGTGTTTTGTAGGCTACCCACTGTCGCTATCTGTAGGTATGATCTGATGTTTTGTAGACTATCCACTGTTGCTATCTGTAGGTATGATCTGGTGTTTTGTAGTCTATCCACTGTCTCTATCTGTAGGTATGATCTGGTGTTTTGTAGGTTATCCACTGTCGCTATCTGTAGGTATGATCTGATGTTTTGTAGGTTATCCAATGTTACTATCTGTAGGTATGATCTGATGTGTTGTAGGCTATACACTGTTGCTATCTGTAGGTATGATCTGATGTTTTGTAGGTTATCCACTGTCGCTAGCTGTAGGTATGATCTGATTTTTTGTAGGCTATCCACTGTCGCTATCTGTAAGTATGATCTGATGTTTTGTAGGCTATCCACTGTCGCAGTATGATTCCATGCCAAGATACTCCGGCAGTCAAATGCCCATACTCTGCAAAAGTAAGTATACACGAGAAACATTTTAACTTTTTTTTTTTATACTTTCTTACCTGGTGGTCTGTTATCATTATGCAAATTGTCTTCAACAATTTCTTTTGTTATATCTTGTGTTAAGAATCATTGGACAAGTACTTCTATATCAAAATATGGTGAATTAATGCTTCATGAGTGAGGTTGATGTGCTTGGGGGAAAAAAAGTGTCATCTTTAATTATGATATGGTCTATTTTTGGATGCTAACTCCTGTATGGTTTGATTTGTTTTCACTGTGAATGGTGAATTCAGGATAAGATGGAGGGAGATTACTGTCATCAGGAATATCTTATTTACAATTTTCTGGAATTAAAGAAACGTAATTTAAAAAATTATAAAGTTCTTCTGTCATCCTACCTAGGTATCTGCTCCAAGGGAGGTAACTGTGTTGATGAGCGCACTGCGAGGCGGATCCAATCCACATGCCAGTGACAGTGCTAAGCTGGTACACATCTTTGAACAAAAGGTGCCTATAGCCAGCTACCTCATTGCAATTGTCGCTGGAGACATTGAAAGCAGGTAAATATGGACCATATGTTTGTAATTATGAAAAATTCCTTCACAAGAATGATACAGTCAAACCTGTTCTAAGAGACCACTAATTGGAAGTCCAAAAATTGGTCTCTAAACACAGGTGGTCTCTTCATACAGGTTTGTCTCACAATGAAATCCCAACCATGGGGCACACAAACAAGCATGCATTGAAACACAATGAGGCACATCCTTGAATGACCTTAGCTGTTAATAGGACATCAAATAGAATAAAACCAGAGAAAATCTACAATGGGGAACATGAAAAGTGGTCTCTTAACACAGGGGGTCTCTTGATAGAGCTGTTTGCATAATTGTAGTAATTCTCTAGTAAAAGTATGATTTTCATGATGAAAATTGTTTTAATTGATGATAGCGTTACTGTCTGTATCCCTGTCATCATATATTCAAGGAAAAACAATTAGTGCAGAATCAGGAATAATTAAATTAAGGTCTACAGAAATTGAGAAAGATAATTTACATGTGACTGCGCTTCAGTTGAGGTACTGTATAATTGTTTGCAGACATCTTGGTCCCAGATCCAAAGTGTGGTCTGAAAGGGAAATGGTGGAGGAGGCAGAATATGAGTTTGGAGAGGTAATTAAATCCTCTTTACTTCTTTAACTCGTCAAATCAGTAAATATGCAAAATGACTAATCTGTCAGTTATCTACATTATTAAAGTACCACACACCAACTTATATAAATGAATTGAATCAAGAAAGACATTGAAATGTTAATCCCAGTTTATTGAAATATTTTGTATTACAATCACAGACGGAGCACATGCTGCAGACAGCCGAGGATTTGATGGGACCATACGTTTGGGGCCAGTATGATCTACTCGTTTTACCTCCTTCCTTTCCATATGGAGGAATGGAAAACCCCTGTCTGACCTTTGTGACCCCTACTCTACTGGTAATCGTCCTCCTCTGTCGTATCCTCAACTCGCTGTTTATAAAAAACTGTATCCACTAAAACCTGTGACCTGTCTAATCTAACACCCTGTGAGACAACACATTGGTCAGATAAGAAAGGATGTCTAAATATACAAGTATTGTTCAGAAGATTTCATAAGAAGTGGGATTACACAATAAAAAATTTTTCAACAAGATTCAGTTTACTCAGACTAATGTTTAAGTTTCCCTGATGTAAATGTTTAAGTTTCCCTGGGACTACATCTAACAGATTTATTTTTCTCCCACCTCTGCTTATGAAAGATACATGTATCCCATAGGGAACACCCATGTGGGATGTGTGTTTCTCTTACCCTGTACAGGTGTATCCTTACTTTTCCAGTCCGAGATAACCATGTCTCAAACTAGGATTGAGATGGGGGGGGGGGGATTCCTCTATTCATAACAGCTGTATGATGTCTTGTCAACAATACATCAACGTCATGTCAACCCTGCAATTCGCCTGTAAAGTTAACATAACATTATTTATATGATACACAATGGTTAAACAGGGTAAGAGAAAGAATCATGAACCCCCTCGGAGTGATATAAGAGAATATGAACCTTAGGAAAGATCTTAAATTGCCAAACAAGAACTTGTTTGGCAACTTAAAATCTTTCCCCTTAGTTAAAGATTCCCCTATCTCAACCCCAAGAGGGTGATATATTCTATATATCTCAGCCCCAAGGGGGTGATATATTCTATATATCTCAACCCCAAGGGGGTGATATATTCTATATATCTCAACCCCAAGGGGGTGATATTCTATTATTCTTTTACTCTGGACGGTGTATCCACAATTTTCCTGGTGCGAGATATCCATGTGTCACCGTAGGATTGAGACGGGGGATTCCCCTTTCTATAGCAATCAGATGTTGTGTCAACATTACAATGACATCACGTCAACAATGCATCAACGTCATGTCAACCGTGCAATTAGCCTGTAAAGTTAACATTACATTATGTATATGATACACAATGAGTGAGAGGAGAGATTAATAGAATCTTATCACCCCCTTGGTTTTTGTAGGCTATCCACTGTCGCTATCTGTAAGTATGATCAAACTAGGTGTTTGACAGCTTAAGAATCTTACCCCGAGGGTTGAGATTACCGTCTCACTCCCAAGGAGGTGAATGATAATTTTTCTCTTACCCTGTTTACCCTCTTATGTATTTTATATAGACGTTACATCAATGCAAGACAATGTTGATGTGATGCGGCTGAATGGTCGACGTGACGTCATTTTATTGTTGCCATGACGTCATTGTATTGTTGACGTGACGTCATGGTATTGTTGCTATGACGTCATACAATTGTTGAGAACGTGCAAAGAACATGTGTAGATTGTCTCAACCCTAGGTTGAGATAAGAAAATCTCACACCAGTAAAATGGTGGATATCCCTGTCCAGGGTAAGAGAATCCTAAGTTGTCAACCACATGACCAAGCCTCGTGTTTGGCAACTTAAGTATCAGCCCCCTTGGGTTGAGATGATCTCATTCCCTTGAGATTCTATTGCACTCAGTGACCTATACTATAACGATGTCGAAATCAGAAAACGGCATTTTATTATGACGTTACAATTGAAAATGTCTCAGAACATCATTTGACTTGTTGTGGCAATATTGCACAGTCAGCAGGTGCCACCACCTCAAACATATAAGAAGTGTCGTACAAGCTTGACCTGAAGGTCTTACATGGATCTTTAGGTTTAAGTTTGTGTTTACATTATCTAGAGAATTTGCTATATTTGTATATAAGCATTTTGATCGTCAATGCTTTGTTTTACCAAAATTTGAGTTTCGGTGCCCTAACACAAATCACAGGTAAGTTGTGTAAGATAGCATATAACATTAACTCTAACACAAATCACAGGTAAAATGTGTAAGGTAATATATATTGGGTATTATTTGTAAGGTACCATTGGTACCTATCATCTTGTACAAGGTTTGGTTCATTATTTACAGGCTGGTGACAGGTCCCTTGCTAATGTTATTGCTCATGAAATAGCTCACAGTTGGACAGGCAACCTGGTGACCAATTCGACCTTTGAACACTTCTGGTTTGTAACCTATTGCTTAATGTAGTTGAACCAACCTTATACAGCTGAATATATATATTTATTATACACTAAGCTTGTTTCATTAGAAATAACTGTTTAATTGAATGCTTTTAGTATTCAGAACATGACATAAGGCCTATACCTTATATGTCTGTAAGTTTTGCCATCCACTTTCTGTTTTGTTTTGTATATTATGTGTAAAATATTTCGTTGACCAGTGTTACCTCCTCTTTTCAGATCTTATATTAAATTTGTTATTCTGCCAATTAATCCAATACCGTACTTGCTGTATTTAATGCCCATGGCACTTTAAAAATTGGCAGAAGGGGTAATTTATAATACCAGGTATAGTAAATATATAGTAAAGTGAAATGCTCACGTTGTTATCCTCTATGGATCTGACATAAATATTACTTAGGATCAATTGACTTAAAACAAATATTTGCCTGTGGATAAATATGACTTTGTTGAAAGCACAAATTCAGAAACGGTATGTTTGTAGTAGCTGTGTGTTATTGTATTTAATGTGACTGATGTTAAGGCTGAATGGACATCACTATGTGTGTTGTTTTTGGTAATTTACTAGTAAATGCTTTGTGTGGCAGTCGTTTCAAAATTTATCCTTTTTATGAATTTTAAGTTTAATGTATTGCTTTTGAAGGTTGAACGAAGGTCATACTGTGTTTGTGGAGAGGAAGATAGCTGGGTGTCTCCATGGGGGTGAACCAATGAGACACTTCCTGGGAATCGGTGGCTGGAAAACCCTCCAATACGGGGTACTGTTTGTTTTAATGCTCCTGCAAAAAAAGTGCGCTATGCTATCATGCTGTATGTCTTTCAACCTGTTAGCATTTTCTTGTGTCTGCAACTTCTCCCTCAGTTAGTGAGCAAATCTTTTAAGATTTTATCTATCAAGAGCCAAAATTTAATTGTTTAAAGGTTTTTAATATGTTGAAACATGACCTCTGCTTGGTAGTGATTCTAGAAATCACTAGCAATATAGTACATTCTTTGTTTAACAGTGTTTCACAATCATGTATAATGTACAAAATGAGTGAAAAAAAGTACTTGAAAATTCTACAAATCACTAGAAATATACCAATACTTAGTTTAACAACTAATGTTTCAAAATCACGTATAATTTACAGAATTAGAAAAATAAGTGTGCTTGAAAATGGAAGCCCAAGATTTCATAATCTGCATTTTGTTTGACCTTTAAATATGTCATTGACCTTGATAGGTTGTGGACGTCCTAAAAAATGGCCCCTACACCAAGCTCGTCCCTGACCTGCGTGGGGTGGACCCTGACGATGCCTTTTCTGTGGTGCCCTACGAGAAAGGTTTTGCCCTCCTGTTTTACCTGGAAACACTTGTAGGAGGACCAGGTATTGTTCAATACATTACACTTCATTTTGTTTAAAGTGTTTCATCTCAGTTTTTTTCATAAAATCTATACATTTTACATTTGATTATAAGCTTGGTCTAAAATGCACAAATAACAATAAAACTGACACCCAACCTTTAAAGGAATACAAAACACTGTATAGATATAAGTTGAAATGCAAGCTTGTTCATTACTATTAAAAGCTAGTTCATCAATGCTGAAAATGATTTAGATGTAATATCAAATATGTAGTTTGAATTACGTAGTGCCAACCAGTTGCGATGTTTATTTTTAGAATACTACTACAAAATGGTCATAATCTATGCTACTTAATTCAGATGATTCTGAAGTTGACTATAAACATTCTGCTTCAGAGAAATAAAACAATGTAAAGCTATTGGCATGATACAGGTATTAAGTAATAGAATTGTTAACAATACATTTTATACAATACTTGCTGAAAAATTATTGTAGCAGTTTAATGGTTAAGTATCAGATTGTTTGAAAAATTTCATTATACATTGTACATCCCTGGGTCATAACCCTGAAATGGTTGAGATCCCAACTCCATATCCGTATATACCATTCTTTAGGGCACAAAAAGTCTGATTTATATATGCTACTAGGTTTAGTCAAGGGACCTGCCCCACCCCTGGCAACTGAACCATGACATTGGAAATGGTTGAGATCCCAACTATATAACCAGAAGTACAGTTGTGGGGAATAAAGAGTCCAACACAATCATGCTAACAGAATCAGCTTTGGGGTTTGCCCCACCCTTAGGGACTTTATTTAGATATCTAATACAGACCATCAGACCATCTTGTTTAAATGTTTGTTAAACTTAATTGCATGTAAAAAATGTTTCAAAATCTTAAAAACCTTCCCAATATTTAAAGAAAAATTTGAATAGTCTTCAAACATACCTTTTAACGAATTCCATAGAATGTTACCTATTTTAGAACATATTTGGGCTCCTGCCCTTCATCAGTCTCACTGAGGAAAATATTGTCTTTAATTTAATGTCATGAATGATTACACAATCACACAATCATTCAACGATACTAAAAAAGGGCAGACTTAGCCTGAAAGTTTTATATAATTGGCAACATTCTCTGGAATTTCTGAAATAAAAATCTTTCGTCTGAACGTTGTGTGTTCTTTTGTTTTAGCCGTATTTGAACCCTTTCTACGAGCCTACATTGAGCAGTTTCAGGGAGATTCCATAGTTACTGACCAGTGGAAAGAGTTTCTGTTCTCCTTCTTCAAGGACAAGGTGAGTGACAAAAATAACACACAACAAAATATCCCATAATATTGTGGAATCTTTGAGGCTATTGAAATGGGACATCTTTTAATTAATGTACAATGTATCTTTTAATCTGACAACTTTATATTATACATTGTTCACCATTATTTTATGGACATAATATAACTTGTGTTGTGTCAACTTTGCATGTATCTTGACTTGAACCTATCATCAAGGAGTTCTGTAATTGACCAAAAGAGAATTAAACAAAGTGTTGTTGTTTTACCTAATTAGGTCACTGACATCTTGAATTTTGATATCCATTTTTGTAAATTGAACAAAATATTAACTTAGATGTTTTGTTTGGAAGAATTAGGTCACTGTGACCTACTTTTCAAAGTTTGACCTACATATCTGGAAATTAATATAAAACTGTTCTTTGACCAAATTAGTTCACTGTTACCTTCTTAAATGAACATTTAGCCGAAACTATTCCATTCGTATAGGATTTATTCAAAATGAATATTTGTTTGGCATTATAGGTTGATGTGTTCAAAGACGTTGAATGGGATAAGTGGTTCTTTGGACAGGGGATGCCGCCAATAAAACCAAAGTAGGTCAATATATAGTTGAACACTATTATGTAATTATATTAATCATATTTATGACAGCTGTACAGTTCACCTTGTACTGTTCATGTTATCAACAGTATCCTGTCCTTCACACCTTCATTTCTGGGCTATAGATATGATGACAGTCTTGCCGTGCCGTGTGCGGATCTGAGCCAGCGATGGGTGAAAGCTGTGAAGGAAGAGTTCTCATTGTTCAAAGCTGAGGATCTGGCGTCTCTGTCTACTGCACAGAAAAGGGAGTTCTTCTCACTTTTGTTGATAGAGGTAAGAAACTTAAATAAAAAAAAATCATAATCCGTCTTGGAAAACTACATACCTGGGGTACTATCCTGCAATGTACAGTAAAACCTCAGTATAACGCCCCTCATTTATATACAGTAAAACCTCAGTGTAATGCCCCTCATTTATGTACAGTAAAACCTCAGTATAATGCCCCTCGTTTATGTACAGTAAAACCTCAGTATAATGCCCCTCATTTATATACAGTAAAACCTCAGTATAATGCCCCTCATTTATATACAGTAAAACCTCAGTATAATGCCCGTCGATTATGTACAGTAAAACCTCAGTATAATGCACCTCGTTTATGTACAGTAAAACCTCATTATAATGCCCCTCATTTATATACAGTAAACCCTCAGTATAATGCCCCTCGTTTATGTAAAGTAAAACCTCAGTATAATGCCCCTAGTTTATATACAGTAAAACCTCAGTATAATGCCACTCGTTTATATACAGTAAAACCTCAGAATAACGCCCCTCGTTTATATACAGTAAAACCTCAGTATAATGCCCCTCGTTTTATTTGCCACCTTGTTTACAGCCAACATATTTCAATGTCCCTTTTTCTTGTTTCCTGTTGATGACTCCGTAATGAGGGTGAATTTAATGTTAAAGCAAACATTTATAAACAACACAACAACAGTACATAGCAATTAAATGTGAAGGGCAAAGTCAGTATTGGGTTAAAATTGATTTTACTTTTTGAAGGACATTTTGACTTGGCGAAAATTTCCCAGTATATACTAATACTTCATTATTGTTATGTTTTCATAAACTCTTTAAGATTCAGTCCATACAGGACAATGATTTTTTTCCCTGTTTTTGATCTATGGAAGGATATTTCTTCATTTTTATTTTTTTTGCAATAATAATCACAATTCAATGATCCAATATTTTGACAGGCGCCATTTTCTCCTGAGAAGATTCAAGCAATGGAAGCAAGTTACAGTCTCAACTCTGTTAAGAATTCAGAAATCAGATTCAGGTATGAATTTGTGAATGATGAATCCCAAAATCCCAAAAAGAAAAAAGAAAAATATAAAAAAAAAGGAAAAACAAAAACAAAAAAACAAGAGCCCATATGGTAAAACAAAAACTGTACCTAATTATAAACTACATTTATGTTGAAAAATGAACAGTTAACTTCATATATAACATATTTGTAGATTAGATATAGTAACACAGTTTACTTCCTTTTTCAGCTGGTTGAGACTATGCATTCGTGCCAAGTATGAAGATTGTATTCCACGTGCTATTGCCTTTGTAAATGAGCAAGGCAGGATGAAGTTTGTCCGACCAATATACCGGTATGTCATAGATGTATCAACCTGTATGGGGGAAATTAACTTCATTTCAGTTGATAATCTTCACTTGACCTTCACCTTCAAGTTCTCCTCTTGACTTCAAATTTCGTTTGGTAATCTTCATTGCAACATTTCGATTGGTTGTCCTCTTGACCTCCACCTTGAGGTTCTTTTGTGACATCTTGATCTTGACCTTGACATACTTTTGTGACCTCATAAAGTCATTACCTCCTCCTGTAGATTGTTGTGAGACCTGTCTGTCTTATTAATGATAAAATGGTTTGCAGCAATTCAGACATAACTGATTGTTGCTTCAGACAAAATGCCTGGCTGTACATGTGTGCATCTCACATAAAACTCTGTTTTGTTACAATGACAGATTGAAACCTGTATATTCTGGCCCACAAGTATTCTGACATATTGGCCAATACAGTGTACTTCTGTAATCCAAATTATACTAATAAACTCTACCAATAACACCTGTATATTCTGACATTCTGTCTGATTGAATCAATATCATGTGTCCAGCAGGGTGTTTAATTATGTTGGAAAATCAAATGTAATCAATATTATCAATAATACATACAGTCAAACCTGTATTAAGATATCACCAATGGGAAGTCTGAAAAGTTTCTCTCTTAACACTTGGGGTCTCTTTATAGATGTGCAGTCCACATAGAAATCACTATATGAACTTGAAGAGTTGCCTCTTAGGAATCCCCGTCCCACCGCCTAATTAATAACTATATCTAGAAACTGTTTTTTCTGGCATGAGACTATAGCTATAGCTTATAATGAAAATAAAACAAACAAAATAGGGTCAACAACATTGTTATGAATGTAACAAAATTAGCGAGCTGGACTAGATTTGAAACCTGGACTTCATTTTGTTGCACTATTGCTCTAACGGACTGATCAAACCACGCCGACAACAGAAGGTTACTGCATATACAAAAAATAACCCCAGTGCAGTGGGACAGGGACCCTTAACACAGGTGGTCTCTTAGAGTTAGCCAAACGAGCAGGTGTGACTATATCACTCATCAGAATGGCATTTTATAATTATTGTAATTGATAAATTCTCCCATCAATATCTCTAGAAATACATTGTTTGTCCTACTATTAAAGCAAAGTTCTTCCGTTCACAGAGACTTGTATGACTGGGACAAGTCAAAACAGGCGGCTATTGACAACTTCCTGTCCCACAGAACAGAGATGCACAACACTACAGCTAAACTTGTGGCCAAGGAACTTGGCCTAGGACCTTAAACTGCACCCTCTTTTGATGGATTTTGGTCTTCCTACTTCATCGACAAATGGAAGATCAAGTTCCTTTGTTGGATGCTAAAAATAAAACATTTGTACTAGATCTTTACTGTTTTGCAAATATTAAATGATACATGCTTTGATGCTTCATGGATTCTTATTGGTTGTGTCTAAACAGCCAACAATGGATGTGTCAAGCACTCTGATTGGTTGTAGCAAAATTGTAGTCAGTTGTAAATAGAATCCCTGTTTTTTTTTCAAAAGGGACATGCTTGCATGCTATACTTTATGTATTTATTCGTCAAACAGAACTACATGTGGATCACTAATTACTGAAATTTTGAATTATCATTTAGCTGCCAAGAGTACACAACTGCCAGGGTGAATGTTAATGTACCCAGTTGCAGATACATCAAGGATTCATAACAGTGATAACTAATGATATATGTGTAGATTTTGTAAAAGAATGAATTTCAGTTTTAATATCTTTACTTAATTTTTGATTTTGATAGCCAGAATTATTACATCAGAGCTTTTTAGTAATTAACTACATGGTGAGAAAGTAAATAACTAGATGGTGAGAAAGTAAATAACTAGACGGTGAGAAAGTAAATAACTAGATGGTGAGAAAGTAATTAACTAGATGGTGAGAAAAATATGTGCTTGTATGCACTAAACTGACTTACAGTCATATAGAAAATCATATGTAATCTTATATTGTCCATTCCAAATAGTTTGAGTGGATTTTTTTTGGTTTTTGGTTTTTGCAAAATACCAAATAATTTTTATGAAAATTTTACAATGCAATCATTTTATATAATCTGTGTAACTCTTCTTTTTGCATTTGAGTCAAAATATTAGAAAAACATAATATTTTTGTTGAATTTCTCTTTGATTCTGATATATCTGATGACAATTATAAACATTATACATGTATTGCCCTTACTGCAGGGAAACACTTTGTTCCCCGAGGTTAATCATGTTTCACTCGAGCTTCGCCCCTTGTACAACATGATTTATATCCTCAGGAAAACAAAGAATCAGGTTTCCTTCCTTACAGTAAGGGCAATGGACATTTCATAACACCGAAAAATTTCAATCAATAAAAAACAATAACACAATGGAAGAGATGGTCAGGTTGTTGTCGTCTGCTACCGTCATTCGGAACTAGGTTGTGGTGGCTCTTGCAGATGTTTCTAGAGAGGCTCCGAATAAGGGAAATATGAATGGGAAAACTTGAGGGTGACATGTGTTATTGCCCCCGCCATGTAACCAGTATCATCCAATCAGAAACGCTGTTATAAAGATGAGGTATAATAATAAGTTATGTAGGTTTCGCTATATCTGGGAAAAGGTGATTCTCAGTTGGTAATGTGTATTGGTAAGTTGTTAGATTTTTTCATCACATAGTTTTCTTGCTTGAGCTGACTAGGTTTTGTTTTTGTTAGAATGATAAAATCTATTACATGTACCTCAGGCTAAGATTCAGTAACATCCCAACTTCGGCTTACGCCTCGGTTGTGATTATGTTACAGAATCTTAGCCCTCTACTGAGATAACCCAATCTTGCTCAGTTACAGGTAAAAAAAAATAATCTCGCACCTTTTAGTTTGAGGTGCAAGATTAGCATATCAAGTATATATGCTGGTTTATATTGTAATCATAAAAAAACAAAATACATTGTCGTAAAATAACACTTCATAAGTTCAATTTTATGGATGTTTTGTTAACAGTATTTGTCTCATGTAATTTGTAGCTGTGCTTATTTGTTCATGGTTATGTTGCATGCTTTTAGATTTAGTTTATAGTTATATCAACTAAGGGCAGAATTAAAATGGTATAGATATATTGATAGCACATTTTTTCACTTTTATTTGTTATAATAGATATGGCGTTTACTTGCAGCAGTAAAATAATTCATGTTTCATCAGTGATAAATTAATTTATTCGCTTTACACTGAACTATTCTAAACTAGTCCAACTTTTTTTTACTAATAAATTTTGTAAGGAATTATAATGAAGAGTTGTTCTATATGTATTTCAATTTACATAGCAAGCATAACATACTATAATTTTTTATCTTCTAGTATATTTGCGAGGTTATATGATAGTCCTTTGTAGATCTGTTTCAGTCTACCCTATTTATGTACATTTGCGAGGTTATATAATAGTCCTTTGTAGATCTGTTTCAGTCTACCCTATTTACGTATATTTGCGAGGTTATAAGATAGTCCTTTGTAGATCTGTTTCAGTCTACCCTATTTACATATATTTGCGAGGTTATATGATAGTCCTTTGTAGATCTGTTTCAGTCTACCCCATTTACGTATATTTGCGAGGTTATATGACAGTCCTTTGTAGATCTGTTTCAGTCTACCCTATTTACGTATATTTGCAAGGTTATATGATAGTCCTTTGTAGATCTGTTCCAGTCTACCATATTTACGTTAATTATAAAGTGGAATTATGTTCTTGTTTGATCTCTTTATGCTGATTTGTGTGTGGAATTTTTGTGCTGGCATGCACATAATTGGTTCTAAAATCTATATATTATCTCTATAAATTAATATTTGCATGTGGATAGTTTCACACTAATTTATTTCTTCATGCAAGTCATTCCACACCATGAACATTTCCACTATTACAGTATATGGTGTGGTATTTGTACCGTGTCCATCACTGAAGAAAATGGCGAAAATCATTTAGACACTAAATAACTTAAATTTGTACTATAAGTTTGACACAGTGAAGCACAGCTGTAATTCTGAAGGACATAAATAAGTAATGGGCTTGACCCAAAGTAAATGAAACAAAGAGAAATTAATGGGCTTTAGCCAAAGTTAGTGAAACAAAGAGAAAAATGGGCTTTAGCCAAAGTTAGTTTAACAAAGAGAAATTAATGGGCTTTAGCCAAAGTTAGTGTAACAAAGAGAAATTAATGGGCTTTAGCGAAAGCATATGTAACAAAGAGAAATTAATGGACTTTAGCCAAAGTTAGTGTAACATAGAGAAATAAATGGGCTTTAGCGAAAGTTTGTGTAACAAAGAAATTAATGGGCTTTAGCGAAAGCATATGTAACAAAGAGAATTTAATGGACTTTAGCCAAAGTTAGTGTAACATAGAGATATTAATGGGTTTTAGCGAAAGTATGTGTAACAAACAGAAATTAATGGGCTTTAGCAAAAGTTAGTGTAACATTGTTTAGAGTAATAAATGAGCTTTAATCTAAATTAGAGAAATAAAGAGAAGTTAATGGGTATTTCTTAACATTTTCTTCAGGTTAGTAAATATGGATTGTAATGTAAAACAACCAAGTATTAATCAAAGCATAGCCAAATTGAGTCATTTCAGTACATACATAACAACTTATTGTACATACGCTTACAACATAGCCGATTTGACATCGATTTGTGTGGAAAACTTGTACATATTTTACACCCTTGTGGACATACGCTTCACTGGTCATTTGTCTGATGAAGGTGACAGAGTACATACCTTACTAGTTATCGAAACGTCACACATTTAAACACTTATTAGTTGTGTTACATGAATCTTTTAACAAAAGAAATTAAAGGGCTTTAATGAAAGTTAGTGTAACAAATCTTGATAATCTGCCACAATTCCATAGCAGGGAACACAAGGAATAATGTGTTTTACACAGGAATTAGCAAATGTGTTTTTATAACAATGTTGAAAGATCTTGGTACACGCACAAAAGAATAACTATTACTGAAACATTCAGTAGTAACCCCAAACAGAGGCTATCTACCAAAACAGATGACACAACAGATTATGCTCCAACAACACATTATGCTCCAGCAACAGATTATGCTCCAGCAACAGATTATGCTCCAACAACAGGTTATGCTCCAACAACAGATTATGCTCCAACAACAGGTTATGCTCCACCAACAGATTATGCTCCAACAACAGGTTATGCTCGAACAACAGATTATGCTCCTACAACAGATTACTCACGAACAACAGATTATGCTCAAACAACAACAGATTATGCTCAAACATCAACAGATTATGCTCAAACAACAATAGATTATGCTCCAACAACAGATTATGCTCCAACAATAGATTATGCTCCAACAACAGATTATGCTCCAACAACAGATTATGCTTTAACAGATTATGCTCCAACAATAGATTATGCTTCAACAACAGATTATGCTCCAACAACAGATTATGCTTCAACAATAGATTATGCTCCAACAAAAGATTACGCTATGATCTGAGGCTGTCAACCAAGGACGGGCCACACCATGAGTAGATGCTTCAAACTAAAAACAGATGTGACACTAAAAACAAAATGCTATGATTTAATAACAGATACTAATAAAAAGCGGAAACAGCTTCTTTTGAAGAACCAAAGGGCCTGGATTCATGATATTTGTCCAGTAGCTTGCTGACAAAAAGAGAAACCAAAGCCTTATTTTAAGAGATATGGTATATGCCAGCATAGGTTAATTGCTGGTATGGAGGACTAAATGGTTGGTAAGCAAAAATGTCCTTGGTTTTGTTTAAGGTTATGTTCAAATGTGTTAAAATCTTGATTTTTTTCTCAATTACATTGATATATTAGGGCAATAGCATGCATAAAGTGAAGGGCTAAACAGATTCTTATGATTGATTATCTTTACCCATTTCCAAGGTTTACTGATGTGATAACCAAATACACTTTTTAACAACTTCCTTGGGAATACAAGTCAAAATACCATTATTATGTCTCCAGTTAGCAGTGTCATAGCAACCACATATTGTTTATACATGTAGTTTCTTCATCTGTATTATAATTTTCCAACTCGAAAAAATATTTGATTTTTTTTTTCATATTTGAATTAACATCAAATTCAATCATGTTAATTTCTGGAAGATCCAGACTCGGGGTAATATTTTGCCAGTAGCTTGCTGGTGTGGAGGGCTATCAAGTTGTCCAAATAAATTACCTTGATCCACTCTTTAGCTCCACTGATTAGTAAAATTAATCCTGTGGCTTTTGGGGATACAATTTGCAACACATTAATGACTTCAACCAACTAAATTGTTCTGAACAAAAAAAAAGAAGTAAAAATTGTCCAACAGAACGCTATAATTATAGAGTAATGATATATATCGTCACTGTGTACCCAAAATGGGACCCTTTTTTAAGGTGCATGGGAAAACGGACCTAGAAAATGTCAAACAATGGAAAGAAGTTTTTATATACCAGAGTGCAGTTTTCACTTGACGATACTTTGTGATAATTTCACTGTATTTAAGATGTATTGGCTGCTGATTATTGTTACGCAGACAGTTTAAAAATAAGAATAATTAGGAAAACAAAACTTCTTCATCAGGCCATGCAACACCATTTATGGATATCATTTTCAGAAGTCTATTTTTTCAAAACATAATTATGCTAGATTGGGGAAGATTTAACTAGAATGTTTTCTTCTGACTGACTGAAATATTTGAATTGTGTATCTGCTGATAGTGATAATGTATCCCCCAATATTAGCCAAAACACCAAAGTGTATGTTCTTTTCAATGATGATATTTGACCAGTAGCGTGCTGGGATAGATTTGTATAAAGTTTCATTTAGTCTGGAACATTCAAGGAAACCCAATATATGGAAATATTTGCAAAAGTTTTTTTATTGAGAATATTTTACCATGGTTGCTCAAATATCCAGGTGAGCGATACAGGCCCTATGGGCCTATCTGGGCCATTTTGAAAAATTTGGAAGATTTTACTGGAGACGTTTTGAAAACATTTTTTTCTTTCTCCCAGGTACATAATAGTCAAACATGATAAATTCCAAAAGGCATCCCTCCTTCCGGAAATCCTGAATCCGCTCCTGTTTTACCTTTCAAAAATCTCGGAAAATTACCTTTTGTCCACTCCGGAATTTAGACACGCCATACAACCGGAAGTTGATATATCTGGAGAATTTCACTTTTGTCGATATTTATCATCTTTTGTTGCTCGGTAATATAAAAAAAATGGGGAAAGAAAAAGGAGGTTTCCTAACTCCTAAGGCGATAGCAAATCGAATCAAATCCAAGGGCTTACAAAAACTGAGATGGTTTTGTCAAATGTGTCAGAAACAATGTCGAGATGAGGTAAGTTTTAAGACAAATTCTGAAAATATCCATGGACATGTGATCATTGTGAACGTATTCAGTAGTGGCTGATCACAAGGGTTAGATACAAAAACATGTACGCATGTGCTTACCTGGTCAGGCCCTTCCCGTTTGGATGGTAAACTGTTGTTTTTACCGAATGATAATAAATATGCCGCACTAAAGTCATTTTGGTCTGTGTGGAGGGGGTGTGGAGTACTAGTATATACATGAAGTGATGAAGATGGGGAATAAAGTGAAATAAAAACATGCAGATTTCTCTTAAACACTAGCTAGGAGAAAAAGGGGCATTGCTCTGTTACAGAAGAAAGAGAAAATGTGACAGCCAGACCGGGGTTCACCGTTCGAACCTGGAACCCTCTGAGCTCTATAGACAGACGCTCTACCAGCTGAGCACCTGGTCGCTGATGATCACTCCCCAGTGATCAAGTTCTGCTACATTTCTCCCTCCTTTTTCTAAGTCCTCGCCCCTGAAGACAACTATTTACAACCCAAGTTCAGGTATACCCTTGCTAAGTGTACTGTCGATGCTTGAAACAAAGGTTGGCAGGCTCGCCAATTTTGTAACAGGAGAAAGAGAAAATGTAACAGCCAGACATGTACAGGGGTTCAACCAGGGACCCTCCAACTCTCTTCCAACTGAGCTACGTATAATACATGCAGCCGCCGATGATTGACCCAGTCCAGTTACGCTGCAATTCTTTAAACAAAATCCAATAAATTAAATTGCACATTGAAGTACATTTGTACACAAAAAAATATAAATTCTGATGTCTAATTTTTTGTGAAAATGACAAACCATGTCTTACTGTGTAATGCAAAAATGAAGTCATTTTTGACAATGGGTCCGAGCAATGATTATGGGTCTATAATATATATTTTTTTATATGAAGGGTAAAATGCATGGGCAGTTCGAACGGGATTCAAATCTGGTACCTCCAAACTTAAGGCGGACACCCTAACCAATTGAGCTAATTAACAGGTCACTGATCTAGTTGCAGAGTTCCACTACATGTAGAGCAGTGTTTTATGTATCTAGTGATTTTTTTTTGTATTTTTCAGAACGGCTTCAAGTGTCACATGACGTCAGAATCCCACCAAAGACAGCTGTTGTTGTTCGCCGAGAATCCAGATAAATACATTGATGATTTTTCAGAGTAAATACATTATTAAAATCCCAAAACTTTTGGCATATATAGTAGCTGCAGAATATAACATCATTTATTATATTATATTACACTGCTGGCTGGTAGTCTTGTGCACCTTAGAAAAGAACATTCTCCTGGAAAATGTGTACAGGAGGAGTGCTTTTAAAACTAAATCAGCTAAAAAAGAAATGTATACTCTATCGCAGTATATCATTGCTATAATTTGATTCTGATAGGATAAATGTTTGAAAAAGCCAATAGTATTCCTGCCCTTGTGTTTCCAATGAACAGATTTTACTATTTAGATATTTTCATGATTTGAAAAAAATCCTCCGGTAGCTTTGCTTACATCTATTGTTGTTTGTTTATTACCTACGTATACTGTAGTTACGTACACTCATATGTAATTCTGTGGTTTTAATATTATCTTCTGTGAATACATTACAGGAAAACATCAATTTTTAAAAGTAAAAGTCAAAAGTTTTGATACCATTCAAACTCTTGATTTACCAATTTAAATATTGCCTTCTTTCATTTAGGCAATTTGCAGATGAGTATCTGGAGCTGTTGAGCCGCAGATTCAACACGAGGCGAGTCCATGCCAACATTGTTTACCAAGAATATATAGCATACAAAGAACACGTTCACATGAACTCCACACAATGGGAGACACTCACAGAGTTTGTCAAGTGGCTTGGAAGAGAAGGTTTGTTCATGTCAAATATCAAATCCTGGTATTTTGTTGATGGGTTTTTAAGAATTTTATATACATGAATCAAAACTGCACAAAGAAGATAGTTTTATTTTCTTGTTTAGTTATGCATGTATTACTAGGGATACATTTACTTTGAAATGATATACCTTTTTGTATGTTTTAGTGTAACAATTGAATATATGTGTTCACTTTAAATTGTTACACTTAGCATGTATTTGTACATTTAATAATTTGATAACATTGTTTGCTCTTTTTAAGTCTTTGGGTGATTTTTCAAATTCTCAACATTTCTTTTCAAATGCAGTACATAATAATATTTGTTTCGTTCTTAGATGCTTGTTTTGATTTCTTGGTTTTAAATTAAATGGCTTATATATATGGTGATATGCAATATGAGTGGTGTCCCTTTATACAGGAAAATGTGTAGTTGACGAAACAGAAAAGGGATGGTTTGTGGCATACATCGACCGAAACCCTGAGGCGATACGTAGGCAGGAACAAGTGAAAGCTAAGGAGAAGATGGATTTGACAGACGAAGAAAGGACTTCAAAATTTATACAGCAGCAGATCGTACGTGCGGCAGAAAAAGACACAACGTCTAAAGCTGCAGAATTTACAGAATTCAAACGAGAGAATGAGGAAGAGAAAGGTAAAGACATTCTAATGTTTCATGTATAATTGTATAGATGAACGTATTATTCAATGTATGTGTTAATTGTATAGAGTAACGTATTATTCAATGTATGTGTTAATTGTATAGAGTAACATATTATTCAATGTATGTGTTAATTGTATAGAGTAAAGTATTATTCAATGTATGTGTTAATTGTATCGAGTAACGTATTATTCAATGTATGTGTTAATTGTATTGATTGTATAAATTGTATATATCTATGTACTGTAAAGTGCTTTAAAGTGACTTATTCTAGCTAGATAAGGCGCTATATCAAATGTTATATGTATTTATGAAATTGGCTATAATAAATCAAATATAACTGTTTTAGGACAAATGACAACAAATAACATTTCAATTTAGGTTTTTATTTATGGGTGATACTTCTAGATACTTTTTACAGTTTTGAGTCATATCAACATTTCATTGAATAGCTAAAGTCTTGATTATGTTTGATATTTTGTAGTGATTTCATGTCTATATTTCTTTCAGTAACCATGAGTCTTTCCAGTTTAGTTAAGAAAAAAGAGGAAAAAGTCAAGTAAGTCACTTAATCGTCTGAAACAATCCAGCTACTTATAATTAATTCCTGATTAAAAGACAGAAACATTATCTGTAGTTTTATAGAACTTTAGTATTTACATAAAATATCTGTATTAATTAGGTAATGTATATCTGTCAGATGAAAAGGTGGAAGATATATATCTCATATCATAAAACATAATACATATGTATAGTGTACCAAAAAAATACTAAAAAAAATACTAAAACAATCATTACAGGGGCTAGAAAGATACTGAAACACTCATCACAGGGACTAGTAAAGATATTGAAACACTCATCACAGGGACTAGTAAAGATATTGAAACACATTGATTAGTATCATGCTAAAACATTAATCATAGAGACTGATAAGACACTAAAACCATTAAACACAGAGAACTGTGAGATATAAAGACACATTTCACCATGGAAGGTAGATTTTTAACCCTGATACTCAACTTTCATGTTTCCTCTTTCAGGATCAGTACAGATAACCTGTTCACAATACCCCCAGATAGCTCTGGGTCTAGTAAAGGGGAGAGCAGCACGTCCAGTCAAAAGAGGGAAGCTACAAAACCAGGTCTGGCGGGACAGAAACGTAAATCAGCCCTCGATGAAATTATGGAGGTATACTATATATACCTAACTTGGGCCATCCTTGAAAAAAAGTTGTTTGCAGATTCCCTATTCTCATATTTTTGTTTAAAAATCTAGTGTCAGTAATTTTCCATCAAGAAAATAATGTTTAACCAAAAGTTGCAAAAATATAGATTGAGTAGATGTTATTTTTGGCAAGTCAGTCGGTAAATTGCAAACAAACAATTTTCGACCTTGGCTGACATATAGATCATTAACAGAAGTTTCACAGTCATTTTTATCTAACTGTACAGAGGTCAACCTTTTTTTTCAATAGTGCAATGTTAATGTAAAAGAGCAGCAGAATTGTTTATTAGATAGATATAGGTAAGTAACACACAGTTAAACCTTCTTATACTGCCACTATTTGTCCAGACATTATAATGGAAGTTGGCGATATAATGAAGGAATAGTTGAAAGGAATTTTAAAGGAAACAAGAAAAAGGTACATTGAAATACGTTGTACGCGAGGTGGCAAATGAAGTGATTGACATATTATATTAGGTTTTTCTGTAATTTATATATACCGGTAATTGATGAAACAGAAGACAATTTTGTGATTCAATAGGACTCAAACCTGAGACTGTCAATATTCCTGCCCAGTGTACATGTTGTTAGGATTGAGCTAATTATATAAGTGCAGATTCCTCTTAGCCAAGCCAGTAGTAAACAACTTGATACTGTTGTTCCCAAAAGTGTCAAATTAATATTAGGTTTTATTAAAAGCTACTCATTTAACTTCTTTTTCTTTTGGTAAACACACATCATGTTTATTTGTAGAAATGTATAGAGACTTGCCCAACAGTTGGAAATTACATCTGATGTTTTGTTAGATGTACCTGATATTTTTATCTCTGACTATTTCAGTTTGAAGAGAAGAAGAAGGAGAAGATGAACAGGAAAGACTACTGGTTACATAAAGGCATTGTAGTAAAAGTGGTCACGAAGAAACTCGGGGAGAAGTACTACAAGAAAAAGGCTTTTGTAAAGGTTAGAATAAATTTGAATCACCTTTTTAAGTTTCAACCTGTTGCTTTTCTTGCTCAAGTTACTTAGCTTCTAGTTAATTGCATGATTTTGTTTATAGTCGTAGTCAGTAATGACACTTTGAATGTGTGTGTTTTATATTTTGTTTCGTTTTGTGGCGGGGCTGCACTTCAACTGTATCTATGTTCATAACTTGACTGTTACACCATGGGTATACATACTGCTACACTCAGTGGTATATTTGTCCTTAAGATACTGGTTTGATGTGGGAATCTTATGTTTCTTGAAATTCCTCTTTCTTGTTTCAAGAATAACTATGTTTGCTACATTAATTTCTGTATAAGTGTTTGGAATCAGTTGAAATTTTATGACTGGTTTATTACTTTTCAGGAAGTGATAGATCTGTACAAAGGTGTAATAAAGGTGATAGACAGTGGCGACAAACTAAAGGTGGATCAGACACACCTGGAGACGGTCATACCTGCCACAGGTAAAAAACATGCCATCATATTCTTGTGTGTCTACTTGTCATTGAGAATACAGAATACTTATCAATAAGTAGTATTATATATCATGCCTGTGCTTAGGAATATTTCTTCTGATGGACTAAGGCTTAACGGTATATCTTCTGATGGACTAAGGCTTAACGGTATTTCTTCTGATGGACTAAGGCTTAACAGTATTTGAAAAACAAAATAAGAAAATTAAACTGTTTTAATAGCTTAATGACGATATTGGCTGTCTGTTAAAATTGGTTTATTATTTTTTGTAAATAAACACTAGGTATATTTTTTTTAATGATATGTGTGTATGTTTGGTATTCAAGATAAAGGTAATTCAATTATTTTATCCAAGAAATTTGCTAACTTTTATTGCTTAGATGATAAACAAAAAATTGTGTTTGTCATATGTATATGAAATTAATTTTTATAATAATCTGTTTAATTTCAATACAATGATGTTTCTGTCCACAGGTAAAACAGTTATAATTGTGAACGGAGCATATCGAGGTTATGAAGCCGTCCTTGAAAGTATTAAGGAGAAGAAATTTTGCTGTACAGTGTCTATCAAATCGGTAAGTAAAGAAGTGAGTTGGTATGGTGCTCCGTCATTTTGAACTTCACATAACATTCTGACCGCAAACTTCACAACCAGAACATATCTTTTTATGTATATTGATAATGACAAAACTTAGTTTTAAAAGCAATTTGATAAGATATCATGGAACTGATTCCTGTAAGAAATGGCCATGATATGCATCATTCTGAATTTATGTGTCATAGGCCCTTTTAAATACAGGCAGGTTTTTTTAATTTGTCAAATGTTTTTCTCATATCAAAATTATCACATTGAAGGGAAGTTACTCTGTCTCGTTAATCTCAGTTCTGCATACTATGGTGAAAAATGAATTATCATTTTCTTCTCTCATGTGCAAGATTCATTATTGATGTATATATAGGATTATAACTATATTATGACATTTTTCCTTTGCCCAAAATGGCTTACATTGTCAATGGGCCGTAAAACAATATAAAAACAAAAATCAAATGTTTTATTTAGTTGAAACTTTAATGTCCAATAATACAATTAACGTAACAGATCTTTATGAAATATTCTCAATGAAAAGGAAATTGGGACAAAAGTAACATTCTGTCTGTCAGGGACTTGGTTATAACCTGGGACAAAAGTAACATTCTGCCTGTCAGGGGCTTGGTTATAACCTGGGACAAAAGTAACATTCTGTCTGTCAGAGGCTCGGTTATAACCTGGGACAAAGTAACATTCTGTCTGTCAGAGGCTTGGTTATAACCTGGGACAAAAATGGACGTTTAAATACTCTCATTGAACTAAAAGTGAAGTTCTGATGATTTTTTTTTGGTATTATTTTTACAAATTGTGTTGTTGGTATTTTCAGGGCCCTTTAAAGGGAAGGATGATAGAAGATATAAAATACGAAGATATAAGTAAAATTTATCAGCCATCGTGAGAAATCTGACTATGTGGGATACTCTAGAAGTGTTGAGAATGATCAAACAAGTAGTTGATCAAAATGGATACTCATATCTCAGGCGAGGAAAGGTGCCCAGCTGTGTAACAGGCATCATTTGAAACGGTTTTGACTGAGTGGGAGACTACAGAAGTGTTTAGTAAGATAAAGCAAGTTTGATGATCATGGAACAGTGGTGGCCAAATGGTTAAGGCGTCTGACTTCTGGGTCGCCGGTTTGGACCTACATGGGGCACTCGCCAGGTACTGGCCGTAGGTCGGGGTTTTTCTCCAGGAACTCTGGCTTACCTCCACCACGAAAACCTGGCACATCCTTAAATAACCATAGCTGTTCATAGGACATATTACACAACATACCAAACCAAAATAGATGATCACAGTGGATATCTCCTGTGAGACGGGTACCAGGACCCAGCTCAGTAACAAGCATCTGTTGAAATGTGTCATAAACAGAGCCAGTTACTTTGGCAGTCTGTCAAGAATTGTTTTGAAATTTAGTTTAGGATATTACATTTAGAGAAAATCTGAAGCTGCAGGTAATTATTGCACTTTGAAGCTGGTGAAAAACTGTTTTCCGCATCTATGCACTATTCCAAAAAAATGTTTACTATATGAATTGGGAACTTATAACAGGCTTGACAGTGGCTTAATACATTATTTCTGAAAGAAAACCTTACTTATCAGAACTTTAATGGAAAAGGTAAGACGAAATATACAAAACAAAATCTGGGATTCAGTCCAACTACAGTTAAGGGAGGCTGCTCTATGTAGAACAGTAATCCTTTAACGTTTTCTTCATAATGCAATGTTCTGTACTTTTTCTACGTTTTGTATATGTTAGACCAGGTGGGGATGTGAAAGCATAACTGTAGATTCATTGCCGATCACAATGAATCTACAGGTATGCTTTCACATCCCCACCTGTTATTGGGAATATCACCCACCAGTGAGAAATCAAAGATATATTATATTATTATAGCTCATCTATGTAATAGTGTCTGATTGGATTATATTAATCACATGATTGGGAAATAAAACTTTGTGTCACCCTAATTCACACACTGGAGTTCCTTGGTCATATTTCCATTATTCAGAGGTCCAAGTGACTAAAACAGGCGACAACGATGGCATGTCAACCTGGCCATCTTTTCTGCTGTGTTTTTTATTCAATTTGGTTAAAATGATAATGAAATATTTTTTGCACTCGTATAGAAAATCAATTCTTAAATTCATTCAGTTGATCGTGTTTCACTTTGGCTTTTCCCTTGTGAAAAATGACTGATCTTGTGGAAACAAAGAATCGGTTTCCCTACAACAAGGACAATGTATGTGTTACATCTCTTTAGACATTAGATCTGCATACTAATAATAGATCTTGTACATGCAGTAGTCATGCAAAGCCTTAATTTGACAGCGAGTTGTATTGTTTTTAAGATTGATACAAATGTATATATATGTGAATTAATTTTCATGTGAGATGGAGAAAAAATACATTTTAAAGTAGGGTTTTCTGCCTTTTCTTTATACATATTCCTTATAATTAAATTAAAAAGTTTTCAAATTTAAGGATCCCCTTACCACTGCCAAAGACTGTAACTACATTTTGGAAACTGTTTTTTCCGGAATGACAACAGCTTGTTAAATCATTTCTGAACAGAAAACTATACCTTGCAGGACTTTTATGAAAAAACAATAGGATGAAATTAAGAAAATATAATCAATTATAGTGTTCTAAGTGTAAAAGTCCAGCGGGGCTAAACCGTAAGCTTCAAATTATTATACTATTGCTGAACGAATTGAGCTACATGGTGAACAGAAGCGTCCTAATGCAACTGTGCTACAGTTATATTGAAAATGAAATTAAGGGGAGGTTACTGTGGACAGGCCGGGATCGGGACAGATCCTTAACATCAGAATTTCTTTCATGCAGATCAATAATATCCTATGTGGGACAATTGGTGGTTTTGATTAGGTCCATACATTTGATTATTGAATCATTTCTTAAAGATATTTAAATACAAATATCTCTCTTTACAGAACTGGCTTACTAGTATGCCAAAATGTTTTGTAAATGAAACCTCATGATTTTATATAATTTCTATAACGCTATGCAATGTCAAAATGTATATGAATAAAAGTAAAGACAAACCAGGAATTGTTATACCCTGATGTAGGTAAGGGGGTAGATAGTAATCCCTTGTATGGTGATGTAGGTAAGGGGGTAGATAGTAATCCCTTGGATGTGCATGTATTCATGTATCACTTCATTGGCAGTGTAAAGCTGGAGTACAAGATATCTCTGAACCCCTCAACAGATATGCTACTGTGCACAGATTGGTAACATTGAGTTCTACACCTGATTAGACTGGTAACATTGAGTTCTACACCGGATTAGACTGGTAACATTGAGTTCTACACCTGATTAGACTGGTAACATTGAGTTCTACACCTGATTAGACTGGTAACATTGAGTTCTACACCTGATTAGACTGGTAACATTGAGTTCTACACCTGATTAGACTGGTAACATTGAGTTCTACACCTGATTAGACTGGTAACATTGAGTTCTACACCTGATTAGACTGGTAACATTGAGTTCTACACCTGATTAGACTGGTAACATTGAGTTCTACACCTGATTAGACTGGTAACATTGAGTTCTACACCTGATTAGACTGGTAACATTGAGTTCTACACCTGATTAGACTGGTAACATTGAGTTCTACACCTGATTAGACTGGTAACATTGAGTTCTACACCTGATTAGACTGGTAACATTGAGTTCTACACCTGATTAGACTGGTAACATTGAGTTCTACACCTGATTAGACTGGTAACATTGAGTTCTACACCTGATTAGACTGGTAACATTGAGTTCTACACCTGATTAGACTGGTAACATTGAGTTCTACACCTGATTAGACTGGTAACATTGAGTTCTACACCTGATTAGACTGGTAACATTGAGTTCTACACCTGATTAGACTGGTAACATTGAGTTCTACACCTGATTAGACTGGTAACATTGAGTTCTACACCTGATTAGACTGGTAACATTGAGTTCTACACCTGATTAGACTGGTAACATTGAGTTCTACACCTGATTAGACTGGTAACATTGAGTTCTACACCTGATTAGACTGGTAACATTGAGTTCTACACCTGATTAGACTGGTAACATTGAGTTCTACACCTGATTAGACTGGTAACATTGAGTTCTACACCTGATTAGACTGGTAACATTGAGTTCTACACCTGATTAGACTGGTAACATTGAGTTCTACACCTGATTAGACTGGTAACATTGAGTTCTACACCTGATTAGACTGGTAACATTGAGTTCTACACCTGATTAGACTGGTAACATTGAGTTCTACACCTGATTAGACTGGTAACATTGAGTTCTACACCTGATTAGACTGGTAACATTGAGTTCTACACCTGATTAGACTGGTAACATTGAGTTCTACACCTGATTAGACTGGTAACATTGAGTTCTACACCTGATTAGACTGGTAACATTGAGTTCTACACCTGGTTAGACTGGTAACATTGAGTTCTACACCTGATTAGACTGGTAACATTGAGTTCTACACCTGGTTAGACTGGTAACATTGAGTTCTACACCTGGTTAGATTTGGGGGTCATTGGGTGGATATATCTATGTGAGCTCTCCACTTTTTTTTTTTTTTTTCACTGGAAAGATATTTAGATATGATGAAAAAGTGAGTAAGTTGAAGATGAAATTGTGAAAATATGATTGGAGTAATTTTGTGTGTATAGTACAAAACTTTATGAATGAGTAAGTTGACAGGTACTGGATAAATCTATGCATGTTTGTGATGAGGTATTGAAGTCAGTGAAATTGTGTGTATACTTTTGTATTACAGGTTGTACCTGTCTAATGTAATTATGTATCGTAATCATACATTTCATTTCATTTTAAAAGGTCGTCATATTTAAAAAAAAATATACGTTGCAAAGTAGTGTTTTATAATATGCAGAATAAAATATTTTTATGCAAAATGATTTGTTTGTTGTTTGGTTATAATGATTAGGTCATCTGAGTCAGAAATCTAATATATGTCTGCCCTAGGCTCTGATTGACAGAGACATTTTCAACGTCTCCCCAAAAACTGCCGTAGCTATTGACTTCAAACTTGGTACAGATGTTCCTTATGAGATCCCTGTGAAGTGTTCCTACTCTTTAGGTTGATCCATATAGTTCAAAATTACTGTCCTGGCCTCTGATTCGCTGAGACATGTCTGACTTCTCCAGAACTGCTACAATTATAGACTTCAAACTTATAGACAAAGTGGTCTTAATTGTGGAGCCAATCAAAAATTCAATAAAATGGCTGCCCTGGCCTCTGATTAGCAGAGACATTTTCATACAAGATACAGGATACAGATAATATATATAAAAAAATGGTGTTAATATATGAAAAGCATTAAATGTGATCATGCAAAATGTAGATAAGTAGTATTCAGAATAGGTAAATAAAAGACATAGTTAGTAGTGAATGAATACTTGTATATCACACAAGACTTACTTAGGGTTTAGGATTAAAACACTATGGAATATACATATAATGCTAATATAGCACAGAATAAAAATTGACAGAATATACACTATTATAGTGTGAATTAAAAAGATACCGAAATCAATAAACAATATTTATCAAGTTTTGTAAAAAAAATTTTTTTAGAATATATGGAATAAAAATACAAATAAGATGCTGCAAAAATATAAAATAGAATTAAAACATAAGAAATGAAATAAGACAATAAAAATATCGCACAATCCAAAATGTCCGGTGGCAGAGGTAGCACAGTATGAAGTATCACTCTTTGCAGATATTGCAAAGGCAGATTGGGCCATCCCAGGAATGGACCAGCCTCCTGAATTCTTTGAAGTTTTCAACTTTTCGAAAGTCATTTGGGAGACTGTTCCACACCCGGGCGGCCTTAAAAGCAAACGATTTATGTCCATACTTCCCAGTGTTGACCGAGGACACCCACAGTGGATGTTACTGAGCCAAATCTTTGTGTAAATGTTTGTTCTTGTGTCCCGACAAAGGTTTCTTACTTTTAGTGCCAATTGAAAACGGCTGTCGTGAGCTCTGATTGGCTGAGACAATTTTAAATATCTTTTTAGGAAGTGATCCAGCTATTTTCTACAATCTTCATATACATATCGATCTTCCTCATATTCTGGCTTAGCATTGATTATAGTTGTTGTGCCTAACTGCAGTCTAAAATGGCCACCGAAAACAAAGCTTTTAGCAGCCAACCATCATCGGGTCTTTTTAACGGGCTACATATTTAAATTTGCTGAAAACTCCCCGTTTTCACAGACACAAATCTTAATACATATGAACTTGATATAAATTCAGCTACTCACACTTTTGTACAACTACGTCAGTCTATGTAGTATCAGCCCTTTACCAAACTAATTAATTGCAGCGTTTAGAATATTCCCAGGTGACCCATTTAACGTGTGGGCCTCTTGTCTTTCTGGTGTTGCCAGCAAAGGCATTTTCAAGACCATTTCTCATTAATTTGTTGCGGGGACGTCATCTCTACACTTTTCATTTACAATAATGTAGAATAATAAATTACTATTTAGTTTTTTGATCATTTATATGAAAGACTTGATATGTTAATTTAACGTTAATTCAACTTTTAACAAATATATCTGACTTACCTCTATATACATACTGAATATTTTACCTCACTGGCACATTCTGATTGTCTGATTTACCAGTAACAGTAAATGTACCTGTTTGTATGCGATACAAAACAACGAGATATATATGCACTTTTAAAACTTTATTGCTACACCAACGACACGTCTACTTTTCCTGGGCCTGGCATTTGGGGTTCTTGTGAGAGATGCTGTGTGGCCCCTCGTCGACCTGTTCGCCTCGACATTCCAATCCCTTATCACACGGGCAATATGTCTGATAGAGCTCGTGGTTAAAGATATCGTGTGACAGGAAGGGCATGCACGTCTCGTTCTGGAGGAAACAGACAGAAAAACACACCATAATGATGGTAGGGATTACACAACAGACAACGGGAACAGAGAGACTTAAACATAAAACGACAGGAACCTCGTGGATGGGAAATCTGTCCTGGTAACACATGTGGCAACTTTAATGTATATCCAGGTGAAATGGCCATCCTCGAAATCCAAGCGTTTCGCTCTCCATAGATGTATCTTCTCCACAGGTACAAGCCTAATGTTTATATTATGGGCACAGGTACTAGCCTCGTTTGGTAATAACCCATTCAAAAACAAAATTCATTATGGGTGTGTTGATAGACGAGGCTAGTACCTGTGTTATGGGTGTATTGACAGGCGAGGCTAGTACCTGTGTTATGGGTGTATTGACAGACGAGGCTAGTGCCTGTGTTATGGTGTATAGACAGACAAGACTAGTACCTGTGTTATGGTGTATTGCCAGACGAAACTAGTACCTGTGTTATGGGTGTATAGCCAGACGAGACTAGTACCTGTGTTATGGAGTATAGACAGACGAGACTAGTACCTGCGTTATGGTGTATAGACAGACGAGACTAGTGCCTGTGTTATGGTGTATTGAGAGGCAAGGCGAGTACCTGTGCTATGGTGTATTGACAGGCAAGGCTAGTACCTGTGCTATGGTGTATTGACAGGCAAGGCTAGTACCTGTG